TCAAACAAACTATCAAGCCAGAAAAGTATCTTTTCCATCACTTGATAACTTTGATTATGGCTGGATACTTTTATGAGAGATGTATTTTAATCCACCATATGCTACTGGGATCACTACCGAATTAACTATGACATGGCTGAGATACGAGCAGTCCAAATGGATGATTTTTTTTTTTAGGGTTTCAATGTTATGTATATAAACCCACATAAATTGGCAAGAAGTAATTACCAGACAGAATTTTGAGCAAAGGGTTATTATACGGCTGTGGTAGGATTGTAGGAGTGCTCTCTGCTAGGTTTAAAGGAATACACTTTTTTTTTCTCTTGCTGACCCCCCAGTATCCCTATTGAGAGGGAGAACGACAGTGGAGTCAGCCCATTAAGTTTGAACAGTCACAACATTTATTTCCCAGTGTGAGGCAAAACACTTAAAGGTACTTCTGACTGTATCCATTTGATTTTGTTTACATATTAGGATTTTCACATTTTCACATTTTCAGTGTAATGAGCTTATATAGTCAGAGGGTCTACATCTTGTAAGCATAATTTCCTACTTCATCTGCTTTTTCAGTTCACATACTTGTTTTTGAAACATGCAGTTTTAACTCAGTAAGTAAATAGTCGCCCTTTGTAGTCTGAGCAGTCCCTCTGATGGTGCTCTGGAAGAGTCTGGGGATGGAATGGCTTTCACCAGATCACAGAAGCATAGAATGGTTTGGGTTGGAAGGGACCTTAAAGACCATCTAGTTCCAACCCCCCTGCCATGGGCAGGGACACCTTCCACTAGACCAGGTTGCTCAAAGCCTCATCCAGCCTGGCCTTGAACACTCCCAGGGATGGGGCATCCACAGCTTCTCTGGGCAACCTGTTCCAGTGCCTCACCATGCTCATAGATTTTGTCCTGCTTTATAAGCACTTAATGGCAATAAATGGAGGAAGATTTCTTTTATACTGATCATCTCAGTAGTTCCTTCTAGAGGAGATTGACTAAGGAACCAAAAGGAATTTGCTGCTGTTTCTACCTTCTATTTGAGGGACAAAATTCAGTAAAATTGCTGCAGATATTATCAGAGTAACCACAGTGACAATTCAAGGGACGGGAAAAGTTGTACACTTTCACAGGAAAAATGATAAAAGACTCACACTTCAAATGCTGAACTCTGAGATGCATTTGTTAAGCTCCCGTTATGGGGAGATGTACAGAATATGATGCAGAGTGGACATCAGTCTTATATCAGTCTTGGCTACTCCTGGTACTAGAGGCACAAAAAAAAAAAAAAAATCTCCCAAACCAACCAATTCCTTTCCCTCTTCTGCTCCCCAAACCTCGTTCCCCAGATCAACTCACATCAGCTCACAGAATGCTTTTGTCATACTAACACTGACTGTCAAAGCCATTCTTATTTTAAATCAAACAGTGCTCAGAAGACCAGAATTTTGATTTAAACAAACCACACAGAATGCTCTTAAGACAAATTTTCTGGCTTTAGATTCCACAGTACATGATGTGTAGCTAAATGTAGCATAGCTTGATGCAGGATTTCCTCTGAATCTCAGTATAGCTGTCCCTTAAGTGAATGTGATGCTCTGGCAGTCATGAACATGCAAGTTTTGCCCGAAACATGCACACTTCAATAAACAATTAGGCTCCGCTATGTGCAATAACACAAGGCAATAACAGAAATTTCCTTTTTAGTAACAGGGATAATGCAGTCTTCATCAAACATTGCTGTATCTTGTGGGCATAAAATGCAGTTAACAGAGAGGTTACAGTCATCTCCTTTGAATGCACAGGGTGAAATGCACATTGTCCAAGAGGTTTTGCCATGTATCTCTTAAACTTTCAAGTGGGAATGAAATAAAGTGCAGTAAGAGGCTGGCCCTCTAAGCTGAAGAAAGCCAACCCTGCCACCACTCCAAGATAATTTAAAGCTGAGGATGAGCTGAAAAGCTCTCCTGGGAGAAGGGGAGTTCAGGCCAGCTAAACTCATGACGCCCTGCAAAATACACTCACCATGTGTGGTCAGTTGGAAACCAGATCTTTTCCTGTTCCACTAATACCTATTTGAGAAGAGAGGACACCACTCTAACCTGGTCTAGTGGAAGGTGTCCCTGCCCATGGCAGGGGGGTTGGAACTAGATGGTCTTTAAGGTCCCTTCCAACCCAAACCGTTCTATGGTTCAGCAACTTTCTGTCATACTTTGCAGTTGCATGGCAGGTGTCGTGGTTTAACCTCGGCTCACAGTAAAGTACCACGCAGCTGCCTTCTCACCTCCCCCCCTCCCCCAGTACAGGATGAGCTCATAAAGTTGAGATAAGAACTATTTAATAATCGAATATAAATGAAAATTATAGTGATACTAATATCATCAATATTATTAATAATAAGTAATTAAGATAATACAAAATAGAACATATGCTATAATTGCTCTCCACCCGCAGACTGACACACATCCAGGTCCAGAGAAATGAGAATCCTAGCCTGAGGGCCCCAGAGCCAGAGCCCCAGGGCGACAACACAACCCACTAAGGAACAAACAGGCCCCACCACTAACAACTTCACCAAGAGCTCACAAAGGAGCTGAAGACTGAGCTAGCAAAAGCCTTAACAACCCCCCAGGCCACTTCCCGCCGTAGAACTGCACATGTGCCCTGAGCATGAGGTACCATGGAATGAACTACTCCCTCAGTCAGCCTGGGTCATCAGTCTGCACTGTGAAGAAAATTAACCCTTTCCTGCCTGAAACTAGCACACCAGGCTGTTGCATAGTCTCACCTCTTGAGCTTGTGGTTAGCCTGGTGGTGTGGTGTTTCTTTGGCCTACCCTTTCTTTCTTTTAATTCCCCAATGCCATTGTCAGGCTCCTGCTAACCATAAATTCATGCTCTTTGTCAAATGACCATCCTCCTTTCAGCCTGATTCAGAAGATTTAGGTCTCACACTGCCTCATTTCACTAAGTACCACTTGGCCACCTTGACATCTTCTTTCTGGAGGACAACATGCTGAATTCTGCTGCAGCTGACCAAGCATCTGTTAGTCACCAAGATGAAGTGACAGAGAAAAGCTAGTCTTCTTTTCCATCATACTTTTTTTTTATTATAGGCAGGTGGTATCACTTCACACCATTTTAACACGTTGCTTTGATGCAATGCCCAACAGTGCTAAGACCAGCACTGTCACCCACAGCCATGGCTCCAGGTTGACATTTCAACCACTAAGTGATGGAGCTGAGTCTTTTAATCCAGTTTGCCCCAACCACTAAGTGATGGAGCTGAGTCCAGTTTGCCCAAAAAAATCAAGGAGCACAAGATGTTAAAGCCACTTCTGGGGACTAATTTGATCCATATGAGGAACCTCCTGAGTTTCAGGGTGTCAGCTGGTATGTTACAATATTGCAGGATGCTTACGTGTTTATTTATACTTAAAGTTTAGATGTTCCATGGTGGTCTCTAAAGGCCAGTGAAAGAGGTTCCCTTTTAGCTGGTACTGCATGAGGACTAAAATGTCACTCTCCTAAAGTACTTATGGTCTAGACAGGCAAGAAAACCCAGGAAGGAAAAGGGAACAGAAAACACATAAGATCTAATAAGGTGATTAGGTTACAAGGTCCTGTCTGTTTTAGGATGTTATGTGGCTATCTGGGATTGGCGTTTTGCAGGAGAGGAAATGAGCTAAAAGGGGGAAAAAAAAAAGGACACAAGAGAAAAGGGAGAACAGAACACAATGAATAAGTATGGCATGAAAAAAGCTGAGGTGAAAGTTTTCTCACATCCCTTTTCCCCAGCCTAAGTGCCATCCATATACATTTATGTTACAGTACTTAAATAAGAGCTGTCAGACCTAACACATTTTTGCCTGAATTATTCATAAATATGTATGATAACAAGAAAAGAAGGATTTGTTATTTGGATTAATCTAGTTAATTTTAATTAACATAACTGACGTATAATTAAGAGTTTCTCCTGAGTAACTTACCTTAACACAGGTTCTGTAGCAACGACGACAGAGATGCACATTCTTTAACATTTTTCTTGTGTGTGCTGTCTTCTCCCATAATATACCTGCTAAGCCTCTTTCTTTTTCCCTTTTATACACAATTAACATTTCATTTAAGATTCCTATATTCCAGGTAGATGTCAGAAGAGAAACAGGTCCTAAAGCAGTAATCACTAACAGCCATGTAAGAAGAGTTCCTTCATGACTAATTGCATTTGACACTAATTGCTGTTTATTGAAGAACCTGAGTGAAACATCACTCTGACATATATATGGTTACCCCCTACACCTGTTGCAATTTGCCATAGTTCCTGCTGTTGGTGCCTCACTTCATAGGGCCAGCCTTCTCATGGCTGCCTCCTTTACCTACACAGAGGTGTGACATGGAGGGGGTTGATGTTTCTTATCCAGCACTGTGATAACTGCAGTACTGATGCACTTCTTTAAAGGACAGTTTTGGGAGGAATTATTCCATCCATACCCTCCTGGCTTGGTTGATACACACAATTCTTCACCTTTCGCTGGCTCTTACAGGAGTGCTGGAATACTGAGTGTCTGACAGTAAATCCTAAACAATAATTTACATCGATATCCCTGCTAAAGGGACACCACCAAAAGTGAGTTATTCCACTCCTTGCCTGGCCAAAGGTCAGAAGCATTGGCTGGGAGTTAGAAGGAGCAACTAATTGGATGCATTGCGACTACCCAACGCAACACTGAAAATAAAAAATCTGAGGGTGTTAATTTTTAACCTGGCTACTTGTCTGGAAAAAAAAAAAAAAATCTATTCAGCTAGAAAAAGCTCCATACTGGGACTTCCTCTAGCAATATTTTTAATTATTTTAACTTCAGCTAATATTTCAAGCCCTTTTTTGAATCCTAATTACTTTAACCATGTTATCTATAATTAATAGTTTAGGTAGGAGAAAGATTAGCGTCAGGGGACCCTTGGTGGATTGATAAGAATTCAAAAACGTTGGAAGAAAAACTTATACAAACAATATGGTAGAAGTCATATTTATTGATAAAAATTAATATATCTGCTATAAAATTTGTAACAGTAATGCAACTGAATATTTATTTTGATGCATAAACCTGAATGTTACATACCAAATACAATACAGTAACACTGGTTTCCTCCTTATTTACATGTTTATGAAAATTGATATGCAATCCATGTTAAAAGAACTTGTAATGGAGAATAGTTACATTAGAAAAATAATATTCTTGATAAAGCATTCTTGAGGAGTCCAATCACATTTTCAGGCCTCTTTCAATAAGGCAAAAATCCCTGGTACAGCATATAACTTAATTTACAAAATACAATAACTTCAGACACATCTTCAAGTTTTCTTTTGGTATGCTTTTCCTCACTGTAAAATTACTTCATTTTCTTACTAAACAGAAAGAACTTTCAATAACGAAACTTAATGAGTTCTACTACATATCACATGTACATCGCTGTAGCTTAGCGACCATAACCGGGCAATCTTTCTCCTTAACTGTTTGCTCAATGAGCTTTTCTTAGATGTAGGACGTAGTATTTTGAAATCATTATGACTGTGGTATCTTTCTTCAGTTTTCATAGGAAACAGATCTGTCACATTTTGAAACTTCTTTAAAAAATTTTATTTTATTTTAGGAACTGGTGCACAACTACATTTCCACTCACAAGAGAACGTCACAAATGTAACTAAAATTAGGCTTGGATAACTTTGAAAACATACTACTATGTGCCCAAACCCAAATTTCTTACTTTAATACTTTATAACCCTGCCATGCTCTAGGAATTCTTCTGCATAGCTTCATTACTAGTCACAGTCAGACAGTTTTAATTCCTTCAAAGGCACAAAACTTCCACCTCTTTTCCAGTGTTGCTCCTACACCCGTGAATTCTTGTTTAAACATGCGTGGCAGTCTCATCAAAAGCATTTCTATCTCATTTGCCGAGATCTGAGAAAGAGAGAAAGGTAAGATTAAAGGGAGAAAGCTGCCCTGTAGATTGGAAAGAGGAAATACGAAGAACAGAAATAAGGGACGGGGGTCGGGTTCAGGAACACACGTCAAAAGAAAACAACTGACCATTATTATTTTTAATTTTCTTTAACCTTAGTCTGACATGGATTTCCAGACTCCACAGAGAGTGCAGATTCCTTGCAGGAATGATTCTGCTTTTGTAAGTTTTGTCCCACTGTAGAATAACTACTACATCGGGGCTGCTTCCACAGTGTTATACAAAATCCACCTAAAAACTACGGTTCCAGTTACACTTGTGAGGAGGCGGAAGCAAACAGGACCTTATTCTTACTTCTCATCCCACAAGCTCTTGAATCCTTCTCCTCCCAGCTCCATCAGTTTTTCTCTTGTGAACAAACACGGGACTTTATTTTTAATTAGCTCACTTTTGTTACCTAGAGTTGAGTAACCAGGGAGAGAACTTCTCCCAGTTTGGCCCAGTTCAGCAGCCCCAGATAACTAGGCAGTGAAAGTCCTGACTCAGCATTGCTCAGCATGTTTTTATGGTCTTGAAACCTTAATAACTGGTCACCTTCCTAATGGGAAAGATGGTCTCAATGTAGAAAACACTTTCACAGAGGCAACCTTTCTGGTATAATCTGGTATAAACGAACCACTTTATCCTACTGCTGCTTCTTCTAAAGTGATGGTCATGAAAGAAACAGTAAAGAAATCTGTGAGTGCTGCCTGTTATCCACAGATATCCCCATAGCTTGGTAGGCTTCTCTGGCAATGATGATATAATTGCGTATTCATATTAGTAGGAACCTTCCATGGTGAAAAGTTTTATTTTTTAAAGCAGCATATGAACATAACATATGTTAATTATCCTCACTCCACCCAAGGGAGGCGAGAAAATATCTATCACCTCTTATTTTCCTGAAGAGTTTAGTGAAGCAGAAAGATGAAATGATTTGTTAAAGGTGGTGCAGAAAATCAGTGTTGGAGGCAGCCTAAAACCCCAAAGCAATCAGGTCCATCTTTTGCATACTGTGATGGCAGTAACGGATAGCTGGTTACCTCGGGGTAATGTATCTGAGCTCTACACTGAGCCCTCAGCCTGCACGGGTAAGCTGACCTTATCATTCCTGTTCAGGTGAGGAATGACAGGCTAACCATGGAAAGTAATTGAAATTAATCTCTGAGATTGCATCTCTGGATTGCGCTATTAGAAAGTAATTTGTTACTACAAGCAGTTACTTCCACAGTAAACCGGCCAGGTCAGATTGTGCAGCTCATGTTTATAATGCAGCAGGTAGGTCGAGTGGTGGCTGCAGGGGCTGATCCGTTGGCACCTCGGAGAGATGGGGACAACGCTCCTTCCGTGAAGGCTATGTCTGCGAGTAAAAAGTTTGATCCTGGCAGCCTCGCAGATGCCAACAGGTTACTCAGTGCGGGGAAATTCAAGGATGGAGCCCACAGACATGCTCAGGGAGGGATTTCTCAAGGGGGAGAAAGGTGAAGAGCTCAGTGGGCAGAAGCAATGAGCAGCAGGGTGGAGCCCAAGGAGACCATTTTAAATGATTGCTGCTGTCACTCAAGAGGTACAGAGCTGGAGGGGCCAGTGAGGGGGAAAGCAGGTGAAATTTGGCCAAATGCTGTGTGTTAAGGAAAGACTTGAGAAAGGACGGAGGAGATTGGGCAGGCTGGGTGCTGCAGGAACTGGGGACAAGATGAAGGAAGGTGTACATGTGGCAGATCAGGGAATAGAGAAGCAAAAGAGGAATGGTTGCAGGTGTGAAGCTCTGGATGTCTCAGGCCTTGATAAAATTAGATTTCTTTTTTTTTTTGTATAATTTGAAATTCACCAGTTTCTCACCTCTTTCTACTGTCCTTATCCCTCACTCCCTTTTTGCTGTGGCCAAGAGTGGACTGTAAAGCACTAGCACACCTGAGCTGTCATGGCCTGAAGATAGTGTCTAAGAACTTCATTGTCCTTCTTCACTCCTCCACACGACCTGTCTTATTTCCAGTGGGCTTCTAGCTCAGCATCTCCTCTGCTTTTAGCTATACTTTTTTTCATAGAAACAGAGGAAGGATCCTCCAGGGGCAGGAAGCAGCTCATCAAGGTAGCCCATCACAGCAGCTAGAAGGTGACCTTGGCTATGGGTGGCATGGCTGAAGGAAGTGTTCAGGAACAAAGTGCTACCAGGATCAATAAGCACCACACAAGGAGTGCCACTCATGCTCTGAGTCCACCACCATAGCTGCATCCTCCTAACTCCATGTTGCAAGAAGATCTAGGCAAGTACCATCACCTCCATGTCCAGTGGAAGTATTGGCAGATGTAGATCAGAGCTGTGGCTAACCACGGGATGACCCCTGCATCTGATAAGCGTCTCAGGTAGTCTGGCATCCTGCAGAGCTCTTGCTTAGCACTTAGAGTACCATTCACCTGCTCAAAGGTGGCTATTTCACAGCTGAGCTTCTCACGCTTGAATTGCTTAATATTCACTGGGAGGAACAGGCACTTTTGGAGCTTGATTTCATCTCATACTACAGTCGATATTTAAAAGTAAGTCGATCAATCTTATCCTACAGGTATGTATTGACTATGGACTGTACGAACTGATGCATTAAAAACCACTTTTCACGCTGTAGTCTGTTGACCTCAGTTTTGTGTTGGCCACGCCTTCTCTGAGTTTGGCCAACCAACTCCTTTATAAGGCCCTCTCCGCTTCCATGAGATGAAGGGTACGCTTCATGGTCCATTCACGTGTTCATGAAAGTTCATGTTCAGCGTGAGCCATGACTAACGAACCCTTAGAAGAACCAACTCCTAAACCCCTGCTCATTTTAATGGAAAGGACTACACCTGCGTCTTGTTCTGCTCTCTTTCTCCTCAGCTGCATTTCAGGATCATGTATCATATAATCAGCTGCTAGACTCTGCCATTTAAAGCTCTGCTCTTCTCTGCCACAAAGAATAGCTAAATAGCTCAAGTCAAAGACCTCAACACAAGCACGTGCACTGCAATCTACAAATGAATAAAGACTTCAAACCCCAAAGCCCCATATCCCATTATCTTTCTAATGGAAACGCACAGAGAGTTTAACCTGCAGTAAAGAATAATACAATATTTCTATAGAGAAAACAGATTTTGATTAAATTTTTTTACCCTAGAGTCCAACTGCTGCATATAAGACCAAAGATACTCTATATTGGCTCCAAAAGGGTGGACGTGAAGAAATGTGGATATGATACCTGTATTAAAAACAAACGCACACCAAGTATTGAAATTACCTCAGACAATATATCATTAAAATAAGCAAAATAATTCTGCATACTTTGCTCTTGCTTATTTTTTTCAGTATGAATTATGATTCTTATTTTTCTTTCACAACCCAATAAACATAACAAAATGGCACATTTTTAATACAGTCATAATAACATGGTAAACACAATAGCTCATCTTCAGGAATGACAGCAGTTCGCAAGTAAGTGACCAAGATAATATACTGATGAATAAAGGAATTTCTAAACAAAGACTTGCTGGAAGCATTTCAACTACCAATTTTATGCTTGATTTACCAATATAAAATTGTGGATATTGTAATGGTAAAATTATTACTTTTTTCCCCTTCACTGGATGCTCTGTTGTGAAAATGTTTCACATAATTTTGTCAGAAACCTCACTCCCTCAAATTTTTCTAGTAATTACGCTGATGCTGGTTATGAAAAGTGTTTAATCCATATTATCCTTATCTGCTGCTGAAGAAAACACAAATCCTGTATGACATATTCACTTTTTAACTTTATCTTAAAAGAGAGCCAGTTCTATCTGTCTTTGTTGTTATTTACAGGATTTTTGTAAAAGGTATGGGAACAAAAATGGCTTAGGAGGAGTCAGAATCTAAGTCTACACATTTTTCCTCTAGTGAAAATCAAGTGACAGCATAATAATGATGGCCAGAGAAAACCAGATCTGGGGCATCGGAATTGCTATTAAAAGCACTTTCAAATTTCTCCTCTTCTAAATAAACAGTGAAAATACAAAATGGCATGTGTGTTACTCACTGTTTGGGGAGAATTGAACTGTAAGAATCACAGCAAATATTTTCAACTCTGTTTGGATGGGTTTCTTAGCTGAGCCACCCTAGGGGAAGTTCCTTATATTTAAAGCATAAACACCAGGATTAAAAATGCTTACAAATGACAAAAATGGGTCACTGTATCTTGTGTACTGCAGGCCATGCTGCTTTCTTGATGCTGAATGAATTAGGATAATCTTGGATTTCATTTTTCCCCAAATACTGGCTATGGTTGAAAATGATAAGTAAAATTTAACTCATTTTAGACTGGCTTTGCAAAGAACACCTTTTTTCCTCCCTCTTTTTCCAATAGCATTTGCAAACTTCTGATCCTGCAAAGGGAGGGGCATGTATTTAATTTTATCCTATCACAAGTTCTACCAGCAGTAGCTGCCTTTGTGCCTGACCATAAGCACCCACACAAGAGCTCTTGAAGCAAACGCCAAGACCATCACACTTGGATGGGTTGACTGGAAATCCAATTTGTATTCAAATCACATTTTACCAGTGGCGTTGCATTTGTTATGTGTGTTCCCAAGGCTTTCCAATTCAGGCTGTTCAAAGCTAGTTCCTTTATATAATGTAAATAAAACGTCACTTGACAAAATTTTGTAGTTATGGACTGGAGTTCCATGGATAACTTTTCAATGTTTTTTTTTTCTTTGATGTTCTTTTCCTCTAAGACAATATTGGCTTTTGTAAAATATAGACAAACTTAGTGAATGGGTGGATGCAGGGCTCATTCTTGCCTTGCCACGTCTGAACATGCCTCAGAGGAAGAGATAACAAGAAATCCATCTTGAGCAATCTCTTGCCTTTGAAGTGTGACAATGAGGCAGTTGTGGGGGTTTTATGACCAGTAATATTTGGACTGAGATGACACTGTTTATCTGAGTGTGCCACTGGACAGCTAGTGGATGGGACCCACTTGGGGCCACTGCCACCACTTGTCACAGTCAAATAATGAGTGACCTAGAAATAGCAAGTTATTTATTCTGCACTTTAAATCCCATCCTTGCTACCCTTCTCACAGTAGTTGAACAGATCAAATACGGTCCATTAAGATTAAAAGTTCCAAAATTTATTATAACAAGTGAAATGAAATCAAGTCTGTACATCCCAGTGTTCCACATCTCACCAGTCACAGGAAGTTTGTGTACTAAGCCCTTAACACTTAAATATATTCTTCACTTTTAGATGACCTTTTTGGTCTGAACTGTCTTTTTCCATGCCCCAGCAATAAACCAGCAACTTACCTGGTGTTTAGCAGATGCAAATGAGTTGCATTTAAAGACATTAAGGTAGTTTTGTAACTATCACCTACCAGGATACCGCTGATTTTGTGAAAAGACCAAACCAAAGACATG